AACTTTGAATATATAAACTAGGAATGACAGCAGCCAGAATTCACTGAACCACTTCTCAGCAAGCCTTAAACAAGGAGCCCCTTTGACGTCTGTAGAGTTCCAGGATGAGGCTGCAGGAAACAGAAAAGGAAATTCCGGTCCAGTGGGAGCGATAGGGAGCTTTCTTCCCTGGGGTAGGCAGCAGACCATGCCAAGATTCAGTTTCAGAATGCGCCAAGTCCCCATCCCACCCATATCTCAGAATGAATTAGAAGAAGGGAAGGAAGTCGGGTGGGTCCGCAGACTTAACAAAGGAACTGAAGAAAACTGGGTGGAAAGAGGCAGGGTGGAGACAAAGTTCCTCAGGAAGGTCCCGCCGAACAACTGCTTCCATAGAGTTTCTACAAGTGGGAACTGGGGAGTCTTCGATAGCTACTGCTGGTATAGCTCATGCACATAAAACATGAGCTACATTTCAAGAGAAACAGTTTTGTGTCATGGTTAATACTGCAGCTGCATTCCAGAAAATAGCACCCACGTCTAAGCAGAAACTTGAGCACATCTGTTTTACTGACGTAAAATGTGCAGAGTACCAAGTACCCCAGCGTTTCCTTGAGTCCCTGTGGTAATCTTCCCATGATTCTGTCCTCTTTGTCCAGGGCTGCCTGTCTCATTCATTTCTTCTTCCTCAGAGATACCATGACTCTTGTCCTCTTACTTCTTCCTAGCTCTGTGTCCTTACTCCAACAACAAGTGCTGAGGGAAGATGTACTCCCATGGCAACCACAGTGGAGTTGTCCAAGCCCAGCCCTACCTAACCACCATCCCCCTTAGCTTTCCAATCCACCAGACTGGAATTAGAATTAAGCCCAACCCAAATTTACTATAAAACCCATACCAAATCCTATCTGTGTGACAGCGAGGATCTGGTATCCCCAGCTGGAAATCCCCTCCTCACATGTTTGTCTTGTGGGTGGGCTCTCAATACATCCTTCCTGCAGAATGCTCAGTCATCATAATGTCTTCCCTCACAACCAGATTAACTTCCGGAGGAGCAGGAGCCAGCACAGTTGTTCTAAATTCTCTGTGATATCAGCCTAAGTAAAAGTTTTATAAATGAATAGATATGAAGAGAACATCCTTGAATAACGTATTAGTCAGAGTAACTCAGAACACATAGGTTACAAGAAGCCTGACAATAACAGAGATGTCTTCTGAACAAAGTAGATAGTGCTGCAGCTAACAGCAAAATTTGGCCAAAAGAATAGGGATAAAAAAAGATGCTCTTTTAAGATATTTCAAGGGGATTGTTTTGGAAAAAAAAGTTTATGTGGTGTCCACACTGTTAGCCAACTAGCAACTCATAAACCAGATACATATTGAGATACCAAACAGTCTCAGCACACGGTCAAATGGTTAAAACACGGTCAAAACAAAGCGAAGTCAATGGCTTCTGTGGATTTGGGACAAAGCCCCAAAGTGGGGAGTCATTCTGGTGATAAACAGAGCATCCAGGCCAGGAATGCTGTTACAGACTTATAATCCCAGCACTCAGAGAAGTAAGGCCGGAGGACAATGAATTCAAGCCGCCCTGAGTCACACAGGGAGATTTTGTCTCAAAAGATAAAACAAAAACACAACAAAAAATAACCACAGCATACTTACTTCTACTCTGAATTCAAGAAACATAAATCAGTATTCAAAAATTTTCATATGAAACAGGACATGAATTCCCAATTATCAATCATCGAGTTCTGCCACTTCATGCCTACACAGCTCCCATCCACCGCCTTCTCAGTTCCCACAGCCTAACGCCTCTCACCGGACCGACTACAACAGCTTTTGGAAGATTCTCGCCAGCATTTTCCACTTCCTCACCCAATTATTCCTCTGAACTGAAGCCAGAAAGACCTGACAAAACCCACAACGAGCCATGTTACTTGTCTTCTTTGATGGCTCTCCCTTGCCAAAAAGACAAGTCTAAACTCACTCGGGTGGCTTTCTATGTCTTTCACAATTGCATTTTAGCCTTCCTTTCCTCCAACCGCTTTCTATTACCCATGAGCCAACAATAAAAGGCTCTCCCCTGCCATGCTCTTCTCTCTGACCATTGGTCACCCTCCAAGGTCATGTGCAGAATTCCTGTTGCTCCTTTTCTCTACTGATATAACCATAGAAGTAAGCATTACAAATATATGCGTACAGAAGAAGTCAATTTCTTCAAAGAATTAATGACCCAATGTTAATTCTGCATCATAATGTTTAGAAGACAGTTTCATTTTTACCCTCTTAACAGTCTTCACATATTAATGATCAATACTTATAAATGAGTGAGGCTCAATTTTGCCTATAGCTAGTTAACAGAAAATAGTTACGCTGAGTGATTCCTGAGAAACATGCAAACTGCATTTCCACTTTTCCCTTCTGAAACACCTTGGTATAAGTAGAGCAAGACATTTTATGATTACATGAATTCATAATCATAACATTTGACAATTTAAGAAAATACTAGAAATGCCCATTCAAAAGGCTCTACCGCCCTAAATTTGTAGTAGGGCAATCAGAGTCACAAGGGCTGAGTTTCACTAACTTTATGCCATGCCCAGTGTTCTGCAACTGGAGAATATGACAATACGGCTGAGTAAAAAGAACAATCTACAGGCAGTTGGGATTCTAACTGAAACGTTGCCACCCTTACTTAGCTTCAGCCAGGAAAGGTAGATGAGGTAGATAAAGGATTTTTAAAATAATGAAAGAAAGGAAATCTGTACACAATTGCAGGATTGGGTTATTACTGTGGAAATGAGAGGAGGAAGCAGTGGGCTTGGGTTTACATGGGTGAGTTGCAGTTTCCTCTGCCTGTGCTGTGTGCTTCCGCTGAGTGTCCACGAGCGGAGACCTGAGATTGCAAAGAAACTGAAGCTCATGAACACTGAGCTTAGCAAAGGTATTGTTAAAACAGATTCTCAAGATATGAAGGTTAAAATAAGGTCAGAAGGCTTGGATTGTGAGAACATACAGGCACCTAATATATAGCCATTCCTTTATGAACAGCACATCAGTTTGAGCTCTGGGTGCTGACTGACAAGTGGTGTCATCCTGCAGATGGAGGTCACAGGCAGCTGAGTAGACATTTGCCAGTCAGACAGGAAAGTCCTTGATAATCACTTTTCCTTGCTTTAAGCTCAATGGGAAAGTCTACTGGAAAAAGCCATAATTCCAATGTTTGTTTATACATCTTCTTTACTCTTAGAAGCAAACATTTCAGAGATGTAAATGCCAAATGACATTCAAGTAAGAACTAAAAAAAATCACTGTGAAAACTATATTTTAGAAACTTTAAAAGTTTTAAAGGTAAGAAAGAAAATAATCATAAACCAAGTTGCAAATCTTCACACTTGAAATTTCTGGCTCCTTTAACAGTCTTACCAACGACTAGCACCAGCTTCCGAGTTCTACGCTTTGAGGGAATTACAGTCTCACTAGGTATAACTATAATATTCCAGATTAAAACAATTACAAAGCAAAGGCAACACTGGTATCTTGTGACTAGCACCGAGTTCTTCATGGCTGAAGCCTACCTTCAGTCTCTGTGCGTAAGACTCTGCCATTTGACTTGGATCAACTCTGCCCTATTTCAAGCTGTCACAGGTTCAACGCATCTCACTTGCAATCACCCATAAGATATAGCAGTCATTTAAAAAACAACTAGAAAAGACAAACGCCCCCAATTAAACTAAGGCATGTTTTCACACCATCGATAATTAAGACTCACAGTGCATTTTAAAATCAAAAAGCAAATGAAACCTACGGGTTTCCTAATTAAAATGAATCCAGAGGAACAGCACCTGGAGAAGTTGAAGCTACAACTAAGACAAACAAATATTCCAAGGATATGAAGGGGTAAGAGTTAGGCTGGGACACAGGCAAACTTTAGGGTCCTTTTAACACCTTAAAGAAATCCTTGAACTTTTCTATAATACACAGCAAAAGGTTGGTGTCTGAGTCTTCCAAGAATACTTTAAAGCCAACAGCTGGCCCTGCAACAGTTTGATCTCAAGACTCTGAAATTATCTTATCTTTCCCACCACTTGAGACAACAACTGTCACACTGCTAAGCCAAACTGTTGAAAATATTCCATGTTAGTCGGCTAAACAGCTAGCCCTGAAGGTCCTAACCCATCTCTTGCTCAATAAAACCCTATCATTTGTATGGACAGACTTAAGGCTGAAAAAGCATGTAACAGCATCTCCCCTGGAAGGGTATGAAAATAAAATGTGAAGCAAACACTACAGCCATAGAAAGACAAGCAACTGTTCTCCTTTGTGAGCAGTCCTGGCCAGGAAGAGCCAAGTCTGACAAATAACAATCATTGGATCACAATAAGTGGCAAAGAAAGTGGCTACATTGTCTCCCCGGCCTGAGGGCAGCATTCTCAGCTCTGAGGTCCGGCTGAATAACGGCTTTCAGTGGACCCAGTAACCCGTCCTTTCCCCCAGCTTCCACTGTAGCCGTACAAAGTCACTCTTGTTGGACACAGCACTCAGAATCTCCTGGGAAGTCTCCATCTGACCCGCCCCCAGTGCGAGCAGCTAGAGTCTGGTTTTCTGGCCTTATCTGTTCCTAGTGACTCAGGATACATTCCTCTGGAAATGAGATCCATAACCAAGGTAAACATAAAAGTACATTGGAACAGTCTTTCAAAACTCTATGTTCTCTGTACTATTTAATGGAACAATATTTACAGTGTAAGACTGGGAAGCTATCCACTCAGAATCATGACAGACATGCATTCATGGCTGTCTACATTTCTATATGGCTTACTTCTGAGAAGAGTTCTCTTACAAAACCGGTTCCAAAACCGCTAGCTGCAGAGTTCAGAGCATCTACCATCTTTACTGAGAAGGCTGCGTGCAGAAGTAAAATCCTAAACAATTCCAAATACAAGATTTTTGCCTTCATATGTACAACCATTTTCCCACCCATTCTAATACACATCCCCAAGAGGAAAGGGGCTTACCTGCTCAGATTTCTCCGGCTCTTTTTTGTCTGCCTGTAGAAACTGACAGTTTTCTCTTGCCAGCCTCTGGACCAGCTCGATACGTGCGATATCATCTCTCTCTTGAAGCTTGCACATTACTCCAGCCTTAAGAGTTGGAGAAAAAGCGAAGATATACTTAAATCCACAGTCCCAGGACATGACACCACCTCAGAGTTCACTTTATATGAAGTGCATTTTCCCTGTGACCTGAATCAAATCATGGCCTTTGTAGAAGATTTTGACTTTCCAAACTTAAATCTGTCTTATCTTAATGTAGAGATACCACGCCAGAGACTTCAAATCGAGCGCATGTATCAGTCTACTTTAAGAGCGGGCAGGGCAAACTACATCATTTGCTACTACGTGTGTGCCTGATAGGCTGGTATTTGTTTGTTCCTGACAGCCTGTTTCCTGTTACATAAGCAAAGCCCAGCAAAAGGTTAAAAATTCATGGGAAAGTTAGCCAGGAACCATTCTGGCAAAAAGGGTGAAGTGATACAGAGTCCTAAAAATAACAGTCTACAGCTCCCAGTTCTTCAGCGTGAGGGGATCATTCCACGGACAAACACAGTTGGCAAGAAGATTATGGGATAAACTTTCTTTTTCCCACAACTGGAAAATTACTATAAAGTTGCGAGTAAAGCAATGTCAGTGCTCCTGAGCATTTAGAAGCAACCCACCAAGCATCATATATTCTTTATATAGTGAAGGTCTCAAGTAGTGATAATAGGAAGGAGGTAAATCTAGGCGTTTGGAACAGGAAAAAAAAAAAGTCATTCTAACGCAGAGATTATAAACTATCTCTACTCAAATTCTTTCCTAAATGGTTCACACAAACATACCAAGGCATGATCTAATAAAGAAACCTGAAGTTAGCTTGGCAGAATTAGTCAAAACCACTGAATCTTTATTTACCCAACATAACCTACAGGATTTAAATATACTCCGTAATGAGACCAAATATGGGGATAGAGCTTGCAAGAGCACTCAAGTTTCATGTTTGCTGCCCCCTGTCCCCGCCGCCCCCAACGCTCGAGACACGGTTTCTCTGTGTAACAGCTCTGGCTGTTCTAGAACTCACTATGGAGTTCAGGCTGGCCTCAAACTCACAAAAGTACATCTGCCTCTGCCTCCCAAGTTCTGGGATTAGAGGCGTGTGCCACCACTGCCCGGTGAGCTTCATTGTCTCAGCGGCTAACGTGAAAGCAGCCATGCTATCAAATGGCATCACGGAAACAAAAGCAGACACGCAGAGCAACAACTACAACTCCATTCCCAAGGGCTCTGAAGAAAAGGAATTTTCCAAGCAGCCATCACGGACCCCTAGAGGGCAGCAAGCAGAATTCTCCCAGCATGAGGTTTAAGCTTATAACATTCCTCACAAGTGATATTTTTAGTTTCTTTCCTAAGTTTCCTTGGATAAGGACCTCAGTTTATCTTAAGACATCCTGTACGTGGTGGACAGCCCCGCTGCTGGGAAGTCCCACACCACACCAGATAACTCTTGAAGTTATTTCCTATCGGTCCATGAGCATAGCACTGCCCTTTAAAGCAACTTGAACAAGTGCTATCGCTTATCCAATAACACAATCTTTCTAGTAGTAAACAATTTTATTGCAACATCATTTAATATTCTCCAGATCCATATCTCTGGTTGTCTATTTTATCTTATACATTCATTCAATAGACTTTACTTGATAACTACCCACAATAAATCCTAAAGTTATAGACTTAAATGCCCTGAAGTCTCCCATGTCCCTGGAGTGTACATTCATTGGAGGAAGAAGCGTCTGTAACATAAAATAAAAAGGAAATACTAAGTGGTATATGACAGGAAAGCATGAGGGGTCACCCCTCACGATTAGAGGTCACCCCAGAATCAGGAGGTTTTCTAAGAAGACGACACTTGAACAGCAACCTAAAAGGATCAAGGGAAAGATGATGTCAATTCCCACACAAGTATGTTCTAAGCAGAAGAACAAGGACCCTGAGGCTTGGTGGGCTTGGATGCTGAAGGGCCAAGAAAGGGAATATCATCCTGGTAGGGCAAACAGGTCAGAGGCTAATTGGTGAGGTGGTCAGAGAGGAGCAGGCTACATAAGAAGTTTATCGTACTAAATGGGACGTCTGTATCAAATCCCTCCTCCGAGCTCAAGGAACTCTGTGGAAGAAAAGGCAGAAAGACCGTAAAAACCAAAGGATGGAGGGCAGCAAGGAAACAGGGCCTTGTAAACCCAGCAGGACCGATGAGGGCAGGACTGCAGCAGTGCGCACAGGGCCAGCCTGGGTCTGCACCAGATGGGATTTCAGAAGACAGAAGGGGACACAAGCCCCCATCGCAACCCCAGAAACTATCTCCATTTGATAACCACTTGCAAATGAAGAATTAGTTCTTTTCAGTGGACTCTCACAGGAGATACAAACTACTCTTAAGGGCAGGTCTCATGCCCAGAAGCAGATGGTCAACACAAAAATAACTCAACAATATCTTTGCAGGTCCTTTGTCTTACAATGTTTTGACAAGACATTTTAAAAGAAACATTACAGGTCCTTTGCACATAAATTATGGCTTCCACTTATTGGCTTCTACGGGAATCTTGTGTACGGGACTGTGTGTGTCTTTGTGTCTATCTATCTGTTTCTTGTGCTTTTTCTTCTGTTTGTTTCTATTCTGGTCTGCTTGGTTTTGCTTTATCTTATTTTATTATTATTCTTTAGATGATTGTTTGATTTTTTTATTTTTTGTTTTCTGAGACAGAGTTTTTCTGGCTGTCCTAGAAGTTGTTCTGTGCTAGGCTGGTCTCAAACTCACAGAGATTCACCTGTCTCTGTTTCCTAAAGGCATGAGCCACCACTGTCTTTGTCTTGCTTTTAAAGGAGAGAACAGACAGAAGGGATGTGAATTTAGATGGGAGGGGGGCGGAGGAGGATCTTAGAGGAGCTGGTGGGGATCAGAGGGCACTGGAATCAGAACAGAGTGCACAAAAAAAACCTGTTTGCAATTAAAAAAAAATTTAAAAATGTAGCCCCATGAGGTGACACTAGTCAGTATATTTTTCCCAAAGCAAGGATAATGTATTTTTTAATTGATTATTATTGAGCTCTACATTTTTCTCTGCTCTCCTATCTGCCTCTCCCCTCTCCTTCAAGCCTCTCCCAAGGTCCCCATGCTCCAAATTTACTCAGGAGATCTTGTCTTTTTCTACTTCTTATGTAGATTAGATCTATGTATTTCTCTCTTAGGGTCTCCATTGTTGTGATTTGTGGGCTGGTTTTCTTTGCTTTATGTTTAAAAACCACTTACGAGTGAGTACATGTGATAATTATCTTTCTGTATCTGGGTTACCTCACTCAAAATGATGTTTTCTAGCTCCATCCATTTGCCTGCAAAATTCAAGATGTCGTTATTTTTCTCTGCTGTGTAGTACTCCATTGTGTAAATGCACCACATTTTCCTTATCCATTCTTCGATCAAGAGGCATTTAGGCTGTTTCCAGGTTATGGCTATGACAAACAATGCTGCTATGAACATAGTTGAGCACATGCCATTTTAAAGTCTCTGTTATTAATAAATAAAAAATATTTAAATAAATATGTTTATCCTGATTTCAACTTATAGGATGCATAAATACACTGAAATGTCACATGGTATGCATTTGTTATGTGTGTGTTTCAGTTAAAAGTAAATTTATTCTATCCTGGAGATTTAGTTTAGTGGTATAGCTTTGCCTAATATTACTATTACCTGCTGTATATACTTTGTATTGCCAACAATAAATATGTTCAATTCAAATTTTAAAGTAAAATAAAATAATCATAAAAATTCTCACAACAATGAAATGAAGAATCAGGTTCTTTGATTTTTGGAAGAGTCAAGTTGGATATTGAACACATGGAATTTTATATCAACAGGACAATACTGCATTTAATTAAAAGAAAAACAAATATACAAAATTAACAGAATATAAATTTTAGTTTAATAGTGAGAGTTATAATAACTAGTCTTCATAAAAATGAGCTATGTTACTTCTTAAAATTATGCTTCTTTGTCAAGATATGAGCTAATGACATCAGGTATGCTATAAAATTATGCTGTCCATAAATTTGTTATTAACTGTTCTGTAAGACAATGAATATTATTAAAATACATGACAATGTTTTGCCTATAAAAAGTTTGTATTCTTGTTTTGGACCAGATGAAATTTTTGGAATGGCTTCAGCAGACAGTTATCACAAACAGATGCACAGTTTAGAGGAGCGTTGTGTCCAGCGGGGAGGATGCAGCAGCTGGAGCTAGAAAAGTGAAGGAGACAGTGGAGGAGACGACAGACTTGAGGGCCGTCTCGATGCGCTTCCAAAGCAGTGGCAACAGACGCTATTTGGGAGTTTCACCAGAGTTTGTAAATATTGGGAGACTATGGAAGGAAGGCGCCTACTCAAAGTCCACTAGGGTGGGGCTTGGTCGTTTGTGGGAGGGTCGGGGCAGGATGCCTGGGCCATCCAGAGCATTGTCAGTATTGCTTTGGTTGTTGGAATCCAGGGCTATAAATCAATAAGCTGACTGCAATGTTTCAAAGTGGGAGGATACAGGGAATCAGAAAGGAGACAGGAAGAATGAGCAGCTTCAGGGGAAATCTGGTGGACCAAAAGGTTCCATCCTGTGTGTGCTGGCGGGGAAGGAGACTGGGGTTCTACCAGTCTGCTGCTGGGGGTGGGATCTACCAGTCTGCTGTTGGGGGGGATCTACCTGTCTGCTGCGGGGGGTGGGATCTACCTGTCTGCTGGTGGGGGTGGGATCTACCTGTCTGCTGCTGGGGGTGGGATCTACCTGTCTGCTGCTGGAGTATCAGATATGATGTTTCCAAATAACTATCAGTTTGACAAAGGTAATCTGTGATTTTGAGGAGGAGACAGTTTACCATGGATACTGTGACAGACGGGGCCTTGTGCAGGAATGATGAGAACAGTTCTGCTGGCTCGACAGAGCCCAGACAAGGGGAGCTTCAGCATATTTATCTGTGTTAGAAATCATGTACTACACAGGGAAATTTGATCACATGAGAGGGAAAGGAAGGGTGAGGGGAAGAGAGAGAGATTGTGAGTGATCACGTTTTCAAGATTAATACCCTTGAGTATGAAAAGTAGATAAGGATCTACCCCTAGACAGAAATGTAAATATCAATGTTCCAACTACTGGAACAGGAGGCAACATGCAGGTAGGCTGGCAGAGTCTGATGGTGGCAACTCGCAAGGATTCTTTACTGAAGGTCTCCAGAAATTATTGACTAAGAATAAGAATTGGGAAGATGCTGGTGGTATGAGAAACAAAGGCACATAGCAGACATCAAAGTAGC